AAGAAGCAGAAAGTTAGCAGCCATCCAGGTCTTTATGTCTTTAAGAAATTCCTGCAGTTTAACTCATTGGTGTGTTATATTTGTTTATTATGCAGTATGTAGTAATATGTTTTGAAAAGCTGTAAAAATCCCTTGATGTTTAATAGCATGAGGGAAATGTAATTTTCTATAGGGAGGCTAATTTTGTACTGTTAACGAGTAGCTGACGGGTTTATATTTTTATTATTATTATTAGTGACTCAAAGAGGGCACAGATTATCTTTAGTTCACTGTTTTATCTTCAGCAAAAAAAACAAGAACGTAGCTTCTGTGTATGTTTGGTTTCTTTAAAGAGAATTTTTATTTGTTACAAAAATACACACGATCTCATTTATTTAAGGGTCCAAAGTAACGTAACACAGCAACATGTAACAAACCGATACAATCACTCTGATCAGTATCAGTTCTTTTTTGGAAAATAAATAAATGGAATAAAGGTGCAAAGTAAAAAAGTAAGTCATGTTCCTGCGGTACAAGTAAACATCCAAACGTTCAGTCCATGACCTTGCAGGTTATATGTTGCAGCCCAGGAGGCCAATCTTCAAAGGATTTCGACATCTATTTTCAAATGACGACTCAAGGCTTGCCAAACACTTGTTGGGTATATTGGGCCTTTGAGGCACCTGTCATCATGCTCAAACTATTTTGGCTGATAAAAAGCATCAACAGAAAAATTTTAGCGTCCTGGGAGCGCACGCGTTCAGCGGCCAAGAACACAGAGTTTTTTCTTTCAGCTGCGCCCGCGTGTCGACGCCTGGCCCGGCGCCCAGCTGTGTCCTTTCAGTCCTGTTTTCTGCAGGAATGCGATTTTCCTCTCAGAGCCGGCGATCGCATATCTGTCAGTTTTTCACTCTTTTATTTTCCAATGCAGAAGTCTTTGAAGATGATGTCCAGGATCTCCTCTGCCCCGACCCGTCCAGTGATCCGGCCCAGGCTGGTGACAGCTAAACGGACACCTTCGGCTGCCAGAGCGAGGTCAGTGTCACGGTACCGCTGATACTGAGCCAGAGCCGCCGCACACCGCTGCAGGTGGGCCCTGTGGCGAGCCTGTGTCAGGGTGGGGGCACCGAACAGAGGGTCGCCACACCTACAGAGGAAGTTAATCAGCGAATGTGAAGAGCCTCTGGAGGAGAACTACAAAGATAAAGATGCACTGGGAAGACTGCCTTAACAAATAAACAGTTAAGATTGATCCCTGCAATCAGTTCAGTTTGTACAGCAATCTCACACATCCTGCAAGAGGACGTTCAAATAAGACTTGGCCTTCGCACTGGGGCAACAAAACAAAACTCAAACTCACAGAGTCTTGACACTGCTGTGCAGCACGGTGAGGAAGTCCTTCAGTCCCTCGTTAGTCTGGCAGGAGATCAGACAGACAGCAGGGAGACCAGAGACACCCCTCAGCTCCGTGCCCAGCTTTTGTCTCTGCTTCTCAGGCAGCAGATCGGCCTTATTCAACACCAGGAGACACCTGTCTGCAGGACATGATGTGGTAAGTTAACTTGACTGATCC